TTTAGCATAGATATGGCCTAGGAAAACACTGCTTTCATCTCTAAGATGTAAGTTTGTGTGGCTGATTAAATTAGAAAGGGTTGTGGGGTAAGTAGCCAGCTCATCTGAGAATCAAGCTTCTCTTAGACAACCTCACACTCATGATTCAAAAAAACTAAATGCAGCTGGCCTCAGAGAGCCTTGTGAACCCTGGATTTTGCCTTTCTGGTATTTTCTTCATCCATGGTTATTGCTACTGCTTTCCAGATGACATTTGGATGTTCTGGAGTTGGCACAGCTTCACATGGGTAGTCCCATCAAAGCTGCCTTTTAGACTGTTTCTCCATGGAAAAGAGTTGCCACTGCAGCCCAGGAGCTCCCCTCTCCCCACATGTCCCAGGGGCTTGAAAGTGCATTCCTGTTTATTTCCTCAAGCAGTTCTATTCATATCCTTCAAAAGCTGCCAAACCGCATCTGTCAGGCCCAAGAGGACTCAAAAGTGCATCGTAGGTAAACACCAGGAGCAAGGTGGGACTGCCTGGAGTTAGCAGCATTCACTGCACTTCCCCCCTGGAWGTTTTATTCCTCCTTCTGCAAGTTCACAGGCACAACTCCAGCATGAGGCCTCAAGCAACAGCAGAGTTGGGCTGAGACACCCGACTGTAATTCAGGCAYACAACATCCCTGTGCCCAGGACTAGTAGAAAACAGCCCCTTGCAGCAAGGGAGAGGCCTTTTGGGACAGACAATCTGTCTTTTTGGATATTGTGCTGGGCTGAGACCAAATTCAGCCAGGCTGGATGTGCCAGGGAGTTTCAAACCAGCTGGAGATGTGTCCTGTGTGCCGGTGTCTGGTGTGATGTGTCCAGTCAGGGCTCTGGGGACTCTGCCACAGGGTCACAGCCAGAGGGGTTCTACCTGCCACCCTCTCTGGGTGCTCAGGTGTGATGCCTGTGAGCAGCATCCCGGGCAGTGCAGGGGCAGATGCAGCACACAGAGCTCCCTACTTGCACCGCAGCTTAGGAAGGYGATGGATTTATTCCCCTGCTTCTTTGGCCTCAGCTTGGTTTCAGGGAGCACAGACAGGCTTCTCCCAAGAAATGAGATGATAATGGTAGGGGTAAAGAGGTAGAGAGCCTTCCCATGGGGCATAGAGGTGCCTTTCACCAGAGAACTCTAGGACAGCTGTGAGAGAGAGCCCACACACACCATGGAAAGAACAAGACATCCCTCAGTAATCGTGTCCTGCTTTCCAGCCCTGCAGCCTGCTCCCAGGCCRTGACTCACTGCAGAACCATGCACAGCTGCCCTGCTGGCCTCTGGATTACAGCTGAGAATCTGCAATGGCATCCCCTCCTCCTTCTCCATCTGCTTCTGACCAGCACCCCAGTGCAACCATTGCAAGAGACTGGAGTGTCAGCCTGCCCCATGTGAAGCAGTCCTCCTGCTCATCCCATCTTCCTTGTCCTACATGAGACACTCAAGCATGTTCACAGAATGAGCATTTGTTGTGTTTGGGTTCATCCTGCCCTGTGCAGATGGTGCTTCCAGTGGCCCTGCATCTGCTTAGTGCAAGCCCAGAGAGAACAGTCCATCTGCCTCTGATCTGCTTCTGAAATGGAAAAAACCAGAAACCCTCCCAGAGAGCAGGAGAGATGGGAAATTCCTGGGATAAGCAGATTCCTGTCTGCTCTGCATTTACTGGTTTCTCTCAACTTTTCCTGAGCTGGATGCTGAGCTCCCACCCCTGCAGCCATTGACTTCCCCCACACTGCCCTGCACCTGTGAGGAGCCCAGCCTGCAGCCACACACCCAGGGATGAAGATTGAGCAAATTACATTCCCACAGTGCTTCCAGGGCATCCTGTTTATTTWTATGCACTCTGGGTTCATTGTTTTGCAGCAGCATCCACCAGCAATTAATGCAGTCACATCCTCTAGAGAAAAACTCACTAGAGAATCYCTCCCAGAGCAGAGGGAAGGAAAGGCTCCTCAGAGTGGCAGATTTGTGAGCAGGAGACAGCAGGATTATTAATCCACACTTGCATCACTCCCTCCSAGTTGCTCACTTGCATTTTTCTCCATCCCTTACAGCAGAATTRTTCCCCTCTTGGAAAGAACAACCAGGGTTTTCTCGTGCCAGCCCAGATCTGCCCAACCTGGCTTAAAGCAGGATGAAACAATTTGGATTTTGAACTGGGGTTAGCTGAAGTTCAAACCTCACCCCTCCAGACCTCTTGGCTTTGCTGTAAAATGAGCTCAAGYCTCGAAGGATCTTGTCCTGTTTGCTGCTTCCATCAGAGTTTGTGCAGTCACCTGAGCTGGGACTGACACAGGGAGCTCAGGGGTTCATCACTGTGCCCAAAGTTCTCCACTCATGGTCAGGAGCCTGAGCTGGACCTGCTGCAGCTCTGCCAGGACTCCCAGGGCTGATGAGGCCCCTTGGGCAATTTCCTGCCCATCCAGTGCTCCAGATGGTATAAGACAACCTTCTAAACATGCGTGAGGTCCAGTTTTCCTCCTGGCAGCCTGTCAAAAAAACAAATCTCAACCAAAATCTCCTCTTTGATGACCCCACTAAGCCTCTTAAGAGTAGAAAGGACTTTCCAGGACTTCCTCTGCAAGCTCTCAGTCATTTCTGGAGCTTTTTAAAGCTGCTRAGTGTAAAGAGCCAGCCAGTTGCTCCAGGCTCCTGTCTCCCTGCCCATGTGATYCTGCTCCATCTCCCCACTGATGCCTGGCACTGTGTCCTTCATGAGATGCAGGACCCRGCTGTTCCCACCCCTGAGCACCATGAGCACCCCTTGCTCCCACCCTCCCTGGGTGCTGGATGAGTTTGGGGGCCATTTGCAGAATGTGAATGCATCACTGCTTTTTGCTTTTGCTCAGACCCAGGGTCTAAGCCACCACATCCATAAAGAAATCCCTGTTATAATTATCTCCGTGGCACTATCATTTGTCTAAGCCCTTAGCAGAGGGCTTAGCTTTAGGCTACAGTGCAGAGCAATTGCCACGTTGTCAGTTAGAAAAGTCGTGGTTTCTTTTCTCTTCTTTTTTTTTCTTCTCTAAAATTTTTTCCAGATGTCTTTTTTTTTTCCTTAGGAGAAGAACCAGCAGCGGTACAATTTCAATGCGAGCCGTGACTAATCCACTGCAGAGAACATTCAACAGCTGTATTCAACTCCTAGGAATATGAAACAAGCAAATGAAATTTAGGCTTAGGGGATATGTGACCTTTGGAGCCAAACTGGATCTACAGGTGGCACTGGGCACCATCACAAATCCAGCCTCCACAGGGAGCTGGGAGGGTCACATGAAATATTTATGGATGTCTCTGTGAGTGATACCAMCATCCACATATCAGCACCCAGGGGTGGCTTTTGGGAAATGAGAAGCCAAGTAAAGAAATGGGTGAAGAAGATTTTCTTCTCTTGTTCTTTGCCTCCTGAGCTGCATGATCACGGAGATTGACCTGTTCACTGGGAAGTGATGAACCTCTCCCCCATCTTTCCCCTCTGTTTTCCCTTAGCTTTCCCTTTCTGTTCTGTTTATTTTTTGTTCCTGGTTGGCCATGGGTTGTTTAGTCTTAATCTGMTCTCTGACACACAGCAGAAGTGCCACGAGGCCAGATGAGGAGTGAGCTGATAGAGCACCACAGACACAAAGGCATCTACAGAGCAAGGAGCCAGCACAGCCCGAGGTCATCACAGGCCAGTCCCTGTGTTAACATCTAAACCCTCAGCAGCAGCAGGGAAGAGTTAAACACCCAGGTTTGTGTCTCAGCCCCTCTCAAAGATAGCACCTAATCATGAACCCAAACCCCAGGCAGCCAAGACAAAACACGATGCTCAGTTTTGCTCTGGTCTCGGGTGTCCTTCACCCAGCATYCACAATCACACTGCTGGTGCCCAGATGTCCTCAGTGCTGCTGGCCAGACCAGACACCATCGTCCCAGCAGCCCAGGGTGAGGCTTGATGCTGCAGGAGGATCACAAGCTACAAGGATTTGGATTATCCACAGGGCTCAGTATAGCCCTGTTTGGCATGGAGACAATCTTTATGGATGCCCAAACTGGAGCGATTTTTGGCTCTCTCTCTTTGGCAATTTTTTATTCTCCTTTGCCATGCTGCTGCACCTCAGATCCTCTCAGCCATGGAGAGAAACAAGGAGGGAGGAGCTGGGTTTTCACCCTGAGCATGGAGAGGAACAGATGGAAAAACTCAACTCCAAACAGCTTTGCTGCTTGGCTGCCTCTGGCTGGGCAGCTGCTCCAGCTGAGTTATGATCTGTAAGGTCAAAATACTTAGTGATGTCTGAAGAGACCACCGAATTCAGATGACTGGCAATTCTGGCTGTGGGTTTTGTTCAATCAGTCCAGATCTGCTGGATGACAACCACAGCAGAGAGACCAGTCTGTTGAGAGTCACATCTACCAGCCCAGCATTTCTCTGCCTACTCTCAGCATATTTCAGATATGTCTTAATTCTCCACATTCTCTGGGTCGTTCTTTCCTCCCCTCTCCACAAGGCAGTCACAGATGTCAGCAATGTTTGGAGATAGGATGGAGGAGCAAAAACTCTCCTCCTTTCATCTGCACTCCCCTGAGGATGGGAAACACCAGCTCAGGGCCTGAGTTACTCTGCTGAGAAATGACAGCATTTAACGCTATCATTGCAGCAGGTTAGAAGGTGCATAAAGCAAGCATAGAAATGGCATTTTCCCATCCCTGCCGTGCTGCCAGAGAGAGAGAGAGAACTGAAAATTCATAGCAGCAGTGCAGGCAGCTGCTGTGACAGTGACTCTGCCCAGAGGGCTGCGCTGGGGGCTGCTCTGTSCCTGCGAGGGACCCCTGGATCTGCAGCCCCGCTTGATTTCTCTGGTCTATCCTTCGGAGCCTGTGCCTCAGGRACTGCCCACTGGGGAGAGGGGGAGAGGAAGAGACCGATTTGGAAAGATAGCGAGGAGGAGGAGGAGGASGAGGGGGAGAGGCMGCGGGAAACCCAACCCACCCTTTGGCTTCCTCCTGCCTCCTTCTAAAACCTGCAGATTCCTCCAGCCTGTCCAAGCGCCTGAAGTTCCCTCAGCCGTGCTGCCGGGACTGCGAGGTATGRCCCGAGCTCCGCGTTTGCCTTTGCTGTGCTTTCCCTCCCGACATGGGGGTCCCCAGAGCCCCCCTCGTCCTGCCCGGTACCCTCTCTCCCAGCCCGGGGACTGTGTCCAGTGCTCGCAGTGCGCCCCTCGGGATGGGGAACTGGACGCTCTCCACCCCAACTGGTGCATTTAGAGACCCCTCTTGATTTCACCCCTTTCTCCCCTTTGCAGCATTTCCACTTCTGAACTGTCTCTTCCTCAATTTCCCTGCCAGAGCTTTAATGCTTTGGTGGCATCTGACTGTAAAGGTTTAACCTGCCCTCATTCTTCTCTCTCCTCCCTTTTTCCTCTCTGGGTTTTCAGCTGGTGGGCAGTTCTTTGGCGAGATCCGTGAGACCAAGGTCTGGGCACATCAAACCAGCCTGCAGAGAAAATCAGATCTAGTTACAAACAGTCCCCACAACTCCCAGCCTGAGGTGTGTTGGCAGGTGATGTTTTACTCACCAGGGTATCCAGAAGAAAAACAAAAGAGCTGTCGACTTCATCTCAGTGGTTTTATTTTTTTCAGTGCAGCCGGTCCTATTTCTTCTTTAAAAAAAAAAAAAAAAAAAAGACACTCGGCTTTTTGTTCCAAGCAAACTTTGAAAGCCTTTCAAGTCTGCTGCCCTGGCTTGCCGAACTCCGGCTGATCGACTCTTAGAGAGACGGAGATTGCAGGAGAGGACGAACAAATCTCTTTTGGGGTGTTKTTTAAAGTTTTAAGAACTTGGGTTGGGTCAGGCACAATTTGAGGTCCATACAGAATAGACGAGGGCTTGTTTCCTTTAAAGGCAGCCGCTGTCCTTCCCGTCCCGGTGACGTGACCTGCGTGGCAGTGTAACTCTGCCCTTTGTGTCCCTTTGTAAGAAAACTCCACTCTGTKGCATCCAGCCAAAAAGAAAGAGAGGAAATTTAGCAGGATCGGGGTTGAATTTCCACCCAAACCGAACGGCAAGAGTTTAGAGCTGGACTGAAACCGGGGTCACCGGGAATGTCGCCGGTACTCCGAGTCCTTAGARACGGCCAATTTGAAACAGCCCAAAAACTCAGCATCCCTCCGAAAGGACAAAAGCTAATTGCAGCCGTTTGTTAGGGCGGATCAGGAGAGTTTTAAGCGCAAATTAAAGGCTGGTGTGCGTCCTGTACAGCAGCCAAAGCCAAGCCATTGTCTGCCACATAAGCAGGAGCAGGGGTGCGGGCGCTGTTGGGWGGGGGAAGAGCAGAAATAAACTTTTCGAACTTTTTTTTTTTTCAAGCCCCTCCTTCCACAACACTCTGCTCTTCCATGACTCAGCCCCAGAGGAATGTCGGCTCCCATGGAAACCTTTTCTGGGTCCTCTGSTCGGAGGGATGTCGGGGCTGTTATCGCTGGTGCGGCTGTGGCAGGGCAAGTGCAGGGAATGCTCTGGAGATGGTTTGCATTTTTGCAGAGCRTTTATCGGACAGTTTATTCTCTCTCTCCTTTGTGGGGCTGTGCGGGATCAGCTGGTTGTTCCCCAGGAGCCGGAGGGACCTGGCTCGGAAGCATCCGGGCTGCTTTTGACATTGCCTTAGGTCCAGTCCGCACCAAAGGAAAAGCTCAGGCAGGACAGCAAAATTCGGTCTCGCCTGTCTGCACAGGGCTCATCCATGCAGCCCACGGATCATCCAGGCACTTTTCTTTGTGCTAATTTAATTGTTTTTCATTCAGTCTGCAACCTGGAGAAACGATGACAGCTTCAGCACACAGTGTGATGGGACTGAGCCCTTGCTGTTATATCAACAAGCCCTGTAAGATTCGAGGCATTTCTGAGTTCAGAGCTGCAGGGAATGGGTTCACACAGTGTTGTGGTGTAGCTGTGTGTTAAGTGACTCTGCACGGGCACATGAGGTAGAATTTTTGCTCCCATGTTTTACTTGGAGAGTGTAAGTGAGCTAAAGAGAATTTCACTTACATTTACATCTTGTGAAGGCTTTCTGAGCCCTCACTCCAGCCGTGAGGGGTCTGTGCAGGTGGCAGGAGCCAGGCTGGATTCTGGCCAGTCCCCTGCCCTGCTCCCCAGGAACCCAGGGCAGCTGCAGAACATCTGGGTGAGCCAGCACGGGACTTGCAGGGACCTGTTCATCASGGAGCTTTATGGGGACTCACGCAAACAACTCTGGCTTCAAATGGAATTTTAGCCAGGGAGTGGYTGCTGAGTAAAGCTCAGAGGGTCTYGYTTGCACAGGRAGGTCAGGGCCAGGCAGTGGGGACTGTGTCTCTGTGGGGACACACTTGGTCACCCATCTACACCTTGAAAACTGCGAGGTTTGGCAGAACCTTTTTCTGGGTTTACACTCAGTGTGAGGTGGGGGAATGTCAGACCCTTCAGAACCTTGTGAGAGCAGTGAGCAGAGGGAGGGTGGGTGCAGGGGACCCTGCTGCTGGGCTGGGATGCAGGCAGGAGCTGAGGACGGGAGGGTTTTGCCCAACCATTGGCCGTTCCTGCCCCCATGGCTGCAATTCAGGAGGCAGAGGAGCCCCTTGCWGGGTCAGCAGGACTGAGTGCTCACCCCTCAGCTGGGGTGAGTCCRGTGGCCTCGGGGAGGAGCTGTCAAAGTGGCCAGGAGGAGACTCCTCCCCACGCTAACGTGGCATCCCAAAGGSCTTATGCAACCCTGGACAGGGCCAGCGCCACATGGACCACGCTCCACCATCCATGGAGCCTCTCCTGGAGGCTGCTGTGTCCTCCCCCAACCCACAAAGGCCCCCAGGCTGGCTGGGAGGTGACACGAGTGACCCACAGAACCCCGGTGGCCCAGATTCTCCTCTGTGCATCACTGTGGGATATTTTCTCCATCAGGAGAAACTGATAGTGGTACCACAAGCCTGGGGGRAGCATGGCAAAGTTTCCCAGAGCAGCTTGCTTTGAGTTTATGGAGGTACTGAGAGCCAGCCTCAGACCTTTCTACACCCCATGGATTTTTGATTTGGGGCATGGCTGCAAAATGCAAAAGCAGCTGGCTGAGAACAGCCTGGGCCATGCTGGCTAGGTGAACCATTGACATGGGTTTGTGGAGTTACAGACTGTTTGTAGGGTGATTACAGACTGTTTGTAGGGTGATTACAGACTGTTTATGGGGTGATTGGGAGCTGAAGTCCCCATGAAGGACACAAGTGGGGTCAAGCATTAAAAGGGCTGTGCAGTCCATGGGTCCTGCAGCCCATGGGTGCTCTGTTTTCTCCTCAGGAGGGCAGGCCTGAGGGGAGGGTGGTGACCATGGAGCTTCTCTTACTCTACACTCAGAAACTCTATACTTTCTGTGCTGGTGTCTGTTGACTCCTTTAGGATGCAGAAGGGCCAAGTCCCTTCTTGCTAAAATCTTTTTCCCTGTCCTGTTSTCCACAGTCCAAAATGACCCCCTGGCTGCACCCCCCATCACTGCCCTCTCCCCTCTGTGGGGCTCTTGCAAAGCAGTGCCAGGCATTGCCAGTGCAGGGCCCCTCACAGATCCCCCCAGTTCCAAGGAGCATTATCCTCTCCGATAGCAGGACCATGGTCACTGCACATGGAGGGAGATTTGCACCATGGACCTGTCATCTTGATAGAGCAGCACTCTGTGCAGAGCTCCTGAACTGTTATTGCAGGACTATTGACCACCAGGCATTCAGGAATGACCATCTGCAGCCCAGCCAGGGGCTGACAGGCACAGCAATGTGCTCAGTGGACAGGTTTTGCCTCCARGAGGATTTTGTTTTTCAAACAAACTTGTTTTACCATCTAGGGCACAAGACAGCCCTGCAGAGCTTGTTTGCTCAGACTTTTTCGTGCTCCTTCTTTCTCCAAACACAACACTGGCAGCTCCAACTGCCTGCTGGCTCCTAGCAAACATGTAATTCCCTGACCCCAGCTTACTGCATGCCCAGACTTTGAAATTCAAGGCTTTTTTAGAGCTTGGGAAATGATCTAAGATGGCCTTGGTGTGGGGTTGGTTTCTTCTTAATGCCACCTTCCACATGTGGATGCACTGCCCTCTCCTCCAGGCTGGGCAATGCCCAACGAGCATCACTGAACCTCAGAGCATCTTCCAAAGCAAACGAGCCCTTGGGAGAAACCCAGGAGTCTTTATAAGCCAAGGGATACCAGCAAGGGAGGAGATGGCCAGTACTTTTCCACCTCCCTCCCCAAAGAAGCCTTCCAGGAGTCAAGAAGCAGTGATCTCTGCTGACCAATGCTGGCAGAGCTCTCAGAAGCTTCCAGAACAAATCAAGGTGAGGGGAAGGGACAGCTCACACCCTGCAGGAGAGGAGGGAACTGCTCAGCCTCAGCCTTGACACAGCAAAAGGGCTCATCASCCCCTCCCCACAGCTCCTCTGCCATAGACCCTCCATGTCACCACAGCAGAAATCCCCACCACCCCCTCCCTGCCCTCTGACATCCCAAAAAGCCTCCCTCCGTGCCCTGACCCCTATTCTGCACAGACACCCCACTGGGGGCTGGGTAAGGTACTGAATTCAGGAGGAGGATTTTCTGTGGGTGGCCAAACCTCGCTCAATGAGGAAGCAGAGCCCAGCCTGGTTGGTGCCCTGGCAGCACAGCTTTGGTGTGGTTTTATACCCAGAGAGCTGCCGTGCACGGGGAGGAAGGAAAAGTGGCATTAGATATCCTGGGAAGGAAGAAGAAACCTTCACAAGTCCAGCACTTTCTGTCCCAGCAAATCCAAATCCAGGGCTGGGATGCCCTGGCACGCAGGTGGAGCGGGGCACAGGAAGGGAGGGCTTGGCAGGGGGACAGGTCCCCTCGCTGGCAGGAGTGGCAGCGTGTCCCACTGTCCCCGGGCGGAAGGGAGCCCCAGCCCTCGCTGGCAGCAGCAGGATGCCACTGGCATTTCAAACAGCCAGCTGAGCTCCTGTCTGCCCGCACACAGAGGGGCTCAGCCCTGCCAAGAGGAACCGGGGGGGACAAGGACATGGTGATGGCACCAGCTGCGCTCTCCTCCTGGCTCACAGCCTCGTCCCACTGAGGCTCTCAACAGCCCAGGGAGGSTGCAAAGGGCTCATCCTTTTGAGCTCGCTTGGATCCCTTAAACCCAGCCTGGAACCCTCAGGTGTGAGCAGGAAAGGGGAGAAGTCATAGTAGATACACCAACATTTCGAGGTGCTGGGGATGAGGGACTGGTCTCTGATACCCCTAGGGATGTCTGTGTCCATGGGGGAAAGGTTTTTTTAAAGGATTTAATTCTCAAGTGCCCTCTCTCATTGCCTCTCTTTCCTTCTTTACCTTCCATTTTTCCTCTGGTTGACAAATAACATGACAGAGTTTCGTTCCTTGTACCTGGCACTCATATCAGGRGATTTTTAACATAAAAAATGGGGGGAATTGATAAAAAAAAAAAGCCTTGAGAGAAGCAAACAGCCGTTTTGACTGTAATTCTCCTAAAGGCATCCAGGAGAGCAACAGACATCTTAACCCCACTGTCTCATTTTGCAAAATCAAACTAATTTATCTTGGAAACACGATTTGGCCCAAGGTTCTGGCYAGAAAAGCCAGCGTGTGAGTCTGTAATACCGAACAGACGAGGCAGGAAACGAAGAGGACGCCCTTCTCTAGATGTCTGAGTGCTCAGCCTGGGGCCCAGCAGCACACAGCAGCCTCCTCCCTCATCCCTCATTTTCCTCTGCTTTATTCAAGGTCTGCTGAAAGATGAGGGCCTGGATTTTTTTCCTTCTCTGCCTGGCAGGCAAAGCCCTGGCAGCGCCGGTAAGTGCAGGAGACAGCGGAGCCTCCACSGTTGGGGTTGCTGATGGGGATTTTCATTTCTAACAAATAAATTACTGAGGGGCAACCTGATGGTGGCCCTGCTGCCTGTTCCAGTGGGTCACACCCCTTGGGACTGTTCTGTGGGGCTCATGGGCCTTTTCCCCTGCAGCAGGAGGCTCTGCCCGATGAGACAGAGGTCATYGAAGATCCCACCACAGAGGTAGGTGACTCTGCCCCTCCTCCTCACCATCCCCCCATCACCCCTCCTCTGGGAAGAGCATCCCCAAAGCACTGGAGAGCCATGGAGGGGCTCCTCTGCCCCCCAGGAGCTSGGGCTGGGCTCTGTGTGCACCCACAGCAGAAACACCAACCTCTTTTGCAGGAGCCCGTGGGGGCTAACCCCGTCCAGGTGGAGGTGGGAGAGTTCGAGGAACCCACAGAGGATGTAGAGGAGATTGTTGCAGAGAGTAAGTCACTCTTCCCCTGTGCTCCTGCTGGCAGGGACATCGTCCCCTCCCTGCATGGGGGAGCTTTATCCACCCCAAACAGTGAGAGGCTCCTTGGGGAAGGGCTGTAGCACAAGGACAGTGCCAGCCTGGATGAACATTCAGAGCAAAGGAGGCAGGTGGCCTTTTTCAGCACTGGGCTCTCTATCAGCCCATCTTTGCAACAGGAAAACCATTGGTGTGGCTACAGAAAGGAGTCCAGGATTAGCCCGAGGGCTAACATGGACTTCTGGAAATCCTCCCATCTTCCCAGCTGCTGGGAGCTGTCCCTGGTGAAGGCTGTGTCTTCCCTCTGTGCTGAGATGCCCTGAGCACCTCGTGGCAGGTGAGGATGTGGCTGGCTCTGACTTTGCTCCTCTCCTGCTGCCAGACCCCTGCCAGAACCACCACTGCAAGCACGGCAAGGTGTGCGAGGTGGACGACAACAACTCGCCCATGTGTGTGTGCCAGGACCCCTCCAGCTGCCCCGCCACCGCCGGCGTCTTCGAGAAGGTGAGGGCAGGGAGGGACCCACAGGGGCTTTGCAGAGATGGTGACAGATGGAGACAGAGTCAGGGTGGTGGGTCCCTCTCTGCTGGTGATCCAGAGCCATTGCCCACCCCAGGAATGTCTGGTTTGGGGGCTCTCCCTGCCTCTCACGCAGCCTCTCCCCCTCCTGTGCAGGTCTGTGGCACTGACAACAAGACCTACGACTCCTCCTGCCACTTCTTTGCCACCAAGTGCACCTTGGAGGGAACCAAGAAGGGACACAAGCTGCATCTGGACTACATTGGGCCTTGCAAATGTAGGTGACTAGGGGACCCCTAACTGAGCACAGCCCCCCTGTTCACAGCCTGAGGGATAGCAAAGGTCCAGGCAGGCTCAGGGCTGAGGTGGGAGGGCACTGGGGATGCATGTCCAGGGTCTGGGACGGCGTGTCCAGCTGCTGCACTGACCACTGTGTATGACCTGCAGTCATCCCTGCCTGCCTGGACACAGAGCTGACCGAGTTCCCCCTGCGCATGCGGGACTGGCTCAAGAACGTGCTCATCACCCTGTACGAGCGCGACGAGGACAACAACCTGCTGACCGAGAAACAGAAGCTCAAGGTGAGGGACAGGGGAGGGAGCCTGAGAGCTCACCCCACAACGGAGCCTAGCCCAGACAGGGAGCCTGAATCACCTGTGGGATCCCTGTAAAGACCTCCCAAGATCCCCTGGCACCCCCTTTCCCTGCTGACAGGGTGTCCCTGTCCTCTCCTCTGGCAGGTGAAGAAGATCCACGAGAACGAGAAGCGCCTGGAGGCCGGTGACCACACCGTGGAGCTCCTGGCCCGTGAYTTTGAGAAGAACTACAACATGTACATCTTCCCCGTGCACTGGCAGTTCGGGCAGCTGGACCAGCACCCCATTGATGGGTGAGTGCCAGCACAGCAGGCTGGGGACCTCACCAGGACCATTTAGTGCCCGAGGACCAGGGTGATTTGGCAGTAGAAGGTGAAGGCAGGCTGGAGATGGTGGCAGAGCYACATCTTGCAGGGATTGTGGCAAACCAGGCTGGGGTAGAGGCGCTTTTGGCTCTTCTGCAGGAAGAGGAGCCTCCCCCAGCCCCAGCTGCTCCCACCTTCCTTGGGTGTGGAGTTCCTCTCTTCTCAGATTTACCATCCTATGATAGTTCCCTAAAATATCTCAGTCCAAAGGCCTCGGGATCACTTCAGCAGCTGAGATGGCAGCTGCTGGCTTAGCTGTGAGCTGGAGATGGGCGTGAGAGTGATCACACCCGCAGGCCCGTGGGGTGGGGGCAGCTGGTGGCTGTTTTGTGACCGGCACAGCCGGCTGCAAAGGCAGACACCAGTCCTTGACCTTGGTGACACTCGGTGGCTGACGCTGGGATGGCACTGGGACAGCAGCCAAAGCAGAGCGCTGGGGCCAGCATCTGCCCTCCTGTGAGCATGCGCTCACCTTGGCAGGTACCTGTCCCACACCGAGCTGGCCCCGCTGCGTGCCCCCCTGATCCCCATGGAACACTGCACCACTCGCTTCTTCGAGGCCTGYGACCTGGACAACGACAAGTACATCGCCCTGGAGGAGTGGGCCAGCTGCTTCGGCATCAAGGAGCGTAAGTACCGAGCAGGGCAGCAGTGGGGGACAAGGGGACACTGAAGAGCAGCCCAAAACCCCCACTGTGGATGGAGCAATGCATTACAGCCTGCCCTGGGTGAGGGGAAGCAGGGGCAGTGGGGAGGGTGCAGGAACTGTGGGACCCTGACATCATCCGCTCCTAACTTTGTCTCTTTTCCTTCCACAGAGGACATAGACAAGGACCTTGTGATCTAAACGCTCGGCTTCCTGCTCTGCTGCCAACTTTGTCATGTTTTAACCTTCCCACTTCCTTTGGGTTTCAAACTGCTTTTGTTTTGTTTTGTTTTTCCCTGGGAACAAGGTGCTAATATAGGTCTAAACATATGTAGTAACGGTGCTAAGAGAAATAACAGTCCTGTTCATAGCTTTATCTATCACCACTAGATTACTCACCCAGCTGTTTCCACATGCTCTCACCAGCCTTTTCTCTCTCCTACGTGTCTCTACCATTGACTTTCCTGTCCTAAATATCCGCTCTTGGATCACTTCTCTTAACTTCTCACTAACAGCACGTTCCTGGACATGTCAAACCCTCTCAGCTGAGTCACCACCCCAAATGCCAGCGAGGGAAGGCAGAGCCAGAAGATGTAGGAGGATTGGGTTCTCAAGTGACACTGTGGCCACCCAGCTTGTGGTAGGAAGGATGGAGAGGGGTGAGAAAGACAGAGAGTGGTAGGATTTTGTTTTCCTTTTTTTTCTTTTCCCCCTCCCATTCCCAGGGCTTGAATTTAGCAGTTATTGGGCACAAAAAAAAAGATAAATCAAAGAAGTGAATAGGGAAGCACACAGAATTTAAAACAAATAAGATGAAATTATTCCTATCCTGTAAAATCCTCTTGAATAATAAAGGTTTGAAAGTGCTACATGCTTCACCATCACTCAATGACCACACTGCTGTCGTTTTTTCTGTGTGAGATGGGGTGCAGCYGCCTGTTCCCTGGGGTGTGTGTGGCTCACCTTGATGTTGTGRTTCAGCTGTAGGTGAGATAAAGCTCTTGGCTCTCCCCAAATCACGGTGCCCTTGAGCACTTCCCACCCCTCTGCTTGGCTGTGCTCAAATTCCAGCCCTAAGGAAGCTGTGTCAGAYTTGGAAGGGATGTTTCTGCCCAGAAAGAGGAATGTTTGCCCCATGACTGAGGGAAAGGCTGTAATATTTTTTTTTCCTGCTGTGGATTTAAGGGATGCATARGATGGAAGGGAGAAGGTATTTGGATTTTGGTTTATAAGAGAGGGTCCTGACAAGAGCAAAGTGATGGTTAAATCTCACAGGCTGAGAACATTTTTTTTTTACCTCTGAATGTTCCCTGTGCCTTATATTATTAAATTCCTGCCACAGTGTGAGCAACCTGATGAGTTTCTGTAATAAAAAATACTGATTTGAAACACTGACAATGAACCAGCCTGCAGTGTTCCTCTGTTTCATCCCATCCTGATGAGGGGCATTGTCCCCTCAATACCAAACCTCAAGCATGGGTTCAAGTTRTTACCACAGGTATCCCAGCCCCAGGAAAGGTTCTGGTCCAAGGTAAGCTGARGTGCTTCTGCCCATTCCCATCACTGTAAAGGGCTTGGGGAATGTGGGATGGGTACCATGGGGCAGAGATGGGGTCGTTGCAGCACCAGCACAGACACTCACACRGCTCTCAGCCCTCGCTTTCATCAGCAATAAAATCCCTGGGAAAGGCAAAAAGGCACAACAGTAGGAAAATAAAYACCACCRTTCACATGGGCTAAAAACAGCCRAGTTGCAAGGACTGTGGCTCAGYTGTGAGGTCCCTGCTGACAGCCCCRTGCRGGATGTGCTGTGCTCCCAGCAGAGCTGTGGGGTCACACCCTGCACAGGGTCACTCCTGGCTGCAGATCCCACAGGAGACAGTCACTCTGCAGTGCATTGCCAAGGTGTTTGAGCCCAGAGGGGCCAGCTGAGGCCCTCTTTTGCACCGTGCCTTGAGGCACAGGGCCCATTGCACCCCTTTCCAGGGCTGTCAGCCCAAGGGGGGTCTCAGTGGAGACACAGCAAATGCCTTTCAGACCTGACACAGAGAGACACCCCTGCCCATGACCCCTGCAGGATCCAGCTGCATGTGACCCACCTCTGGGCCTGGAGAGCTGTCGAGAGAAGATTTGGCCAGGGGAGAGGACAGGAAGGAAGGCAAGGGGTGGAGGAGATAAGCCACCCTGTGCAAACCTGCTTTCCAGTCCCTCCCTCTCAGCCAGAAACTCGCGCTGCACTCCCACACCGAGATGCAGCTGCATTCCTTCCAGCTCAGCCCTCCTGCCACTGGACGGACACAGAGCTTGTGCAAGGSAAGTGTTCCCAGCCCTGCTCTCCCCTGCCTTCCCCTCCTGTGCAGGAGTCAGCTCTACGCCCCAGCAAGCTCAGGAAACCCAGCAGGCTGCTCCAGGAGAGCCGGTGTCTCAGCTCTGGGAGGTGATGTGATCCATCTGCAAGGCCAGATCCCATTTCATGGGACAACACTCCCATCCCAGTGGTCTGGGCAGAGCCAGAGGAGCCAACTCAGTGCTGTTACAAAGTGCAGCTGCCCTGGCTTTAACCGAGCATCAGAATGAGCTCAGGAGGTTGGAGCTGAGCTCCCTTAACCCTTCCAAGGGTCACAGCCTGAAGTCGAAGCCTAAAGTATCAAGCAGCTGGAATTTCACTGCCTTGGGGCAAACGCCATACAAGGGGTTATGTCAGGACTTGAGGAATGAGCTGGACTCTTTGAGCTTTCAGACCTAGGCAGTCAGCAAGGGTGGAASAGAACAGCCCTTCCCCTGTTAGAGMCGAAATCGAGCCTTCCCGTGCCTGCACAGCAGTAAAGAAACTCGCCTGTACTTTCCGAGTGGAAACTCTCCCTGTGGTTAGTGCTGACTGAGGACACAGTTTGCAAACCTGAAAAAAAAAAAAAAAATGGGATAGAAAAATAACAGAGAGATCTGGATCCAAAACCAGCATCAGCCTGACCCAAGTGCTACAGTCCGTCTGCAGAGATGGAATCTCACACACAGCTCTCTCTCACAGCTGCTCAAGCACTCACAGAATTGCTGCTGAGGGGGGAACTCATCACGGGTCCGGCACAGGGAGGGTCCCCAGTGCCAGGATAACCCCCACCCCCTCTGCATTCCAAACTGCCCATATCCTCATTGTGTCTCAAAATCTCTTATCTATTCCAAAGATGGACAAATTCAGTAAAAACTTGCCCAGACTCCAGTGAAAAGAACGCCGCGGAAAACACTTCAAGGGACGGCCAGGAGGGAGAGCAGCGGGGAACAAAACAAACACCGCTGTGCACCCCAAAACTGCGAGAGGCGCGTCCTCCCCTTCCTCCTCCTCCTCCTCCTGCTCCTGCTCCTCCCCGGCCGAGCCCAGCCCAGCTCAGCTCAGCCCAGCCCAACCCAGCCCAGCCCAGCTCAGCCCGCAGAGGAGCGGAGCGGCCGGCGGGGGGAGCGATGCGGCCGGGGATGGAGCCGGGGCTGCGGGGAGGCTCTGCCGGAGCTGAGCGGAGCGGAGAGGAGCGGAGAGGAGAGGAGCGGGGCTGTCCCGGGGCTGCCCGGGCACCGGGCGGGAGGAGAAACCCGCTCCCGCATCCCTCAGCCCAGGGCTCTGCCCTTCGCAGCGGAGCGGCTCAGAGCCCTGGTCCCTTCAGGGGCTACAACCCCACCGCGCTTGGCTATCCCATGCCATCCCATGCCATCCCATGCCATGCCATGCCATGCCATGCCATGCCATCCCATCCCATCCCATCCCATCCCATCCCATCCCATCCCATCCCATCCCATCCCATCCCATCCCATCCCATCCCATCCCATCCATGCTGATATATCCTTTAGTCATAAAACCGTTGATCAAGTTGGGCCAGGGGCTCCAGTCTGAACCTCGTGACTCAATGGGAGGGTCCTCCTTACTCTTTGCACCGTTATCCTTTTGTATCTCTGGTCTCCATGCAAATGATTTTAAGATGATTCTGATCAATTTTCCTCTGAATGCTTCATCCATGGAGGAAACGACAGAATGGGCATTGCCATYGAACTCTRTTAAGCTGCACTTTCACAAACTTAAATTAAAACTTGCTTTTGCTGGTACCTTTGCCAGTGACTCCTCAAGTGACTTAAACCTCTCCTTCACRACACCATCCCATCTCACTCAGAGGTGCCCAGGTCTGCTCAGCCCTTCTGGAGCACAGACCAYTTTTCAATCTATAGGTCTCAAGGCTTCTATGATCCCAGATGTTGTGTTTTGCGGTTCGGCCTGTTTTTCCCAGTACCATTCCTCTAATTTTTTAACTCACTGGCTGGTTTTAATTTGATTTGATGGGGCAGAAAACCACAGCCATGGCATTCCTCCGGGTGGCCTGAGGACAGAGAGAGGATGCAGACAGACGGACAAACTATTTCWCTGCAAGGTGATGCTGAGACCTTACAGGAGCTGGGCTCAGTCTGATGCTCTGGTGCCAAGGTAATTGCACGATGAGTAATTATTTCTGCCATGGTTTATCCAATTTCTGCCCATGGAAAACTTCCATTACTTTCTATTTCATGCCCTACCACATAAACCATGGCCATTTCCCAAGTGAGCCCATTTTTTGTCAGGCTGACTATTAYGCTCCTAATCAAAGAAACTCTGATTCTGTGATTCTTGGGAAACAACTTGCCCCAGGAGACATTTTTATGTGCATTCCCTACATTTTTCTTAATTTCGTATTCCTTTTGATTGCTGCTCCATTTGGATTCGAGAGACTGTACAAGACTCTTGTTATTTCTTGTCCAAACACCTCACTGATCACTTTTACTGCCTGGGTTATGGAGAGACTGCTGCCATCAGCTCCGAGGCTGAAATTCTCCACGCACAAAGCCAAGGCTGACCACAGCCTGATGGTCACTGTCTGCAGCTGCCCAGGGCAGTCAGGGCATCACAACCACGCCTGGCAGGACAGTTCCTGGTGGCTGGGGCTGTAGCTGACACTCACAGGGCTTTTCACAGCCAGGAGCAGTGTAAAATCACCCCAGGACTCCTAGACTGAGCACTGAGTGCTGACCAGCCATGTGGTTTCCTTCCCATGAAATGAGGGATCTCCTGGAAACTCAAGGCTCTTTCTCCCCCAACACTAATGTCTCCAGAAGAGCTGCTTTGGCTCTCAAGTGCCTGAACTGGATGCAGTCAGGGAGCTGGGTTGATATCTGGGACAAGCATCACCACTTGTTTGCTCGGCTCCTTCTCCCTGAAGCATCTGCTGCTGAGGGCAGAGATGAGTCAGGGCAGACCTTTGGTGTGACCCAGTCCTGYTGCTCTTGTGCACCAACCACACTGCAATCATGCCCTGTCTGCTCAGGCTTGAGCAGCAGGATTCATCCTGCAGGATTCCTGTTGTTTCCTCCTGGTCATGGTGTCCTTAATGAAGACTTTATCTACCATCACTTGTGAGCCAGCTTTTAGCTCCAGTGAGGATTTTCATGCCCTTCAAAGAGCCCTTCCT